GCCGGGACTACCGCTCCCGGCGTGCGGTGCGGCGGGGCGGGCTGCGGGGCGGGGCGGAGCGGCGGGACGGGCGGACGGACGGACGGAGGGAGGCGGGGAGCGCTGCTGCCCTGCGCCCGCTGCCGCAGCCATGGAGCGGAGGGCGGAGGCGCCGCCGCCGCCGCCGCAGGGCCTCGACTTCACCGTGGAGAACGTGGAAAAGGTGAGCGCGGGGCTGGGGGCGGCGGATCGGGCGCGGCGCGGTGACGCTGTCACCGATGTCGGTCTCCCGCCGCGGTGTGGCCGCGGCGGGGCGGTGCGCGCCGTGCCCGCTGCCCGAGGGAGGGAGATGATGAGGCAGAAATGGGAGCGGGAGGCAGGGCTGTGCCGAGCATCCTTCGGGGCTGGAGCGCGGGTTGGTGGGGGAGAGCTCTCGGAGGGTGCGAGGCGCGGTGGTGCCATCCGAACCCCGCTCCGTGCGGCCCCGCTGCGGCTGCGCTGCTTCCAGAGAGACCGGGGCCGCTGAGACTGGGGATGCGGGAGGCTGCTGGGAACCCGAATCTGTCTGGGGACCGAGCAGGGCGCCCGGGGAGGAAAGGCTTCCCATGGGCGATGCTGGGAGTGATGGAGGCTGAGGGCGTAGCGGTGAAGGGCGCGCAATGAGGAACGCAGCTCCCCGCAGCTCCCCAGCTTTATGGGCGCCCAGAGTCTCGACCCTCTGCGGGTCCCCGGGCAGCGCGAGGCAATCCCGGGGCCCTCGTTTTGCCTTGATGGGAACGGAGCTTCCTGCCAAAACGCTGCCCGCTGCACGGTGGTGGGAGCATCACAGGGGCTGGCCCCATCGCAGCTGGCCTGGGGATGTGTCACACCGGTGCCGGGTGCCTTCTGCCTTTGTGGCTGCAGGTGTCACAGCCCGCATCCCCCTGCTAGCAACACAGAGCTCAGCCCCAAGCGTTAGCCCCTGTGTGCAAAACGCCACAATAATGCTATGTTCTGTGGCTTAATCCGTGTGCAGGCAGGGCTGCAGGATCGTTTTGCCTCCAACCTCCCTCTGCTTCAGCAGGCGATGACTGCGCCTTTGTCTGCACTGGCACGGGAGGGTGGGCAGTGCCGGGGGGTAAAGAGGCATGGGAGCGGGCAGATATGCCCTCTAGGATGCTCTGCTCCCATCCCCCTCCCTGAGCCCTCACAGCCTCAGCTTTGCCATCGCCTTGACATCTGCAGGAGATGCAGCTGTTGGTCGTGGGGATGGAGAGAGAAAAATGCAGGGTGGGAGCAGTAGGAACCCAGAGGCCGAGCATCAAGGAGCCCTCCCTGTGTCATTTCAGGTGGAGAGTTCTTGTACAAATAGGGCAGAATTGGGCTCTTGCTGGGGGCTGGGCTGGTGGGAGGGTGGTGGGCAGAGCCACGTTGTCAGAGTTGGTACTGACAAATAAATGATGTTCTGCCGGCCTGGGCTTCTCTGCCTCTCAGATTTTGTGCACGGCTCTATTAATAACACTGAATAGTGATTAAAGTCAGGGTTTGGCTCGGCGCTGAGTCAGGCGCTGTGAGCACTGGGGTGGGAGCGGGGTGAGGGGTGGGTGAGCTCCCATGGCAGAAGTCAGAGCATCTCCAGGTCTCCATGATGCGTGGCATCCTGCCATAGGCAGAAGGTGACATGGCCCCTGTGCCCAGGGATGGCTCTGGTGGCTGCCCCTGGGAGATGCTGAGGCTGATGGGGCAGCAGTGCCTGTGAGGATGTTAGGGGCTGAGGGGGGAACGTTCCTGTAAAATTGAAGGAAGAAAGGAGTCGTATTGTTGGCTGTGAAAGCAGATCTTTGCTGCAGACAGTAGGTTCCCCTCAGAACCAACCGTGATTGAACACTTTGCTCCTTCCTGTGCCATGATGTTGGGCAAACAGAGGCACACTGTGCTTTCCACCGCTCTGCTGTGTTGTGCTTCACTATCACAGAGCTTCTGGTCATCAGTGACCTGCAGTGCAGGGGTGGCACAGGGACTGGGAGCCTCTCTAAGTGCTTATGAGCTGGTTCCTGGGGCAGTGAGAAGAGCTAAGAAGTGAAGAACAGAGTCCATCCTCGCAGCTCAACCTTGACTCTGCATTCTGAGTCTCTTTCCAAGTGCTGATCAGCCATTGCTCATGCAACCTCAAGGCCCCACTACTGCTGGCGGTGGCAGCTGCCCCGGGGTTTTGCACAGAGCAGGGTGAGCTCAGGGCTGCCATGTTTGTATCTGGGCTGGGGACCACACAGCTCTCTGCAAGGAGATAACTGCCACTAAGCAGCAGGAGGACAGCCCAGACTGCTTTGAGGCTGCAGCATCGCCTCTTCTGCCAGGCTGGGGGTAAAGAGCGGCCAAAGCAGCAGCACGTTTATACTGGGAGGGAGGAACACACACGGCTTTATTTCCTATCTGTTATCCTCCATGCTTCAGCAGGCGGCTGCTTTCTGCTCAGGCTCCCCTGCCATTTTGGGGGGAGGATGGCGGCTCTGCGGGGGGAGGCGGGCTGATGTTCCCTGCGCTCGGCAGCGACAGAGTAATGGCTGTGCTGCTGCAGGCCTGGAGCGAGCGTATGGCTGGAAAGCAGGGCAAGAGGCTGCAGAGGGAAGCACCGCGGCTGGAGGAGGCTAAGAAATGATGATGCTGCCCTGGGTGCTGGACACCGAGCATGTGCATGGGCTGTTTTCATTGCTTGGTTACCTCTGCTGGCAGCAAATCAGCCTCTGGAGATGCAGTGTCTCTGCAGGGGAGCAGCAGGCGGCACACTCGGTTTATGGGATCCTGGCATCCTGCACATGGTGCTGATGGCACCTCTCTGCTGGGCACCAGCTCCTGGTGAGAGCCTGTTTTCATTTGGCACTCTGAACTTACAGGGCAACTGCTTGGGCCTACACTGGTGCTGGGCTTGGAGCAGCTGCTGCAGCTTCTCTTCCTTGCTGGTGCCACGGTGTGAGCTGATATCCATTGTCTGTGCTTGGCAGGAGCAATGCTCAGGCTGCTCCCCACCGCGCCTCCCAGAGGGACCAAGCGGGAGCTGTGATGCTGTGGGCAAGCTTCTCCGGTGGCTGACACCACTCTGGGAGCTGGAGTCCAACAAGGCTCTGACCACTGCTTTTTAGAGCAGGGAGGGCCCATAATAACAAGCCTGAATTATTTTCAGCCAGGCAGAGATGGTGTTGGAGAAAGCTCATTCTCTGGCCAAAGGGCAGAGCTGACAGCCTGACTGTTTACCAGGTCTCATGTTACAGGTCTAATTGCAGAAAAGGCAGGTCTGGTGTCAGCCAAGCTTCCAAATCAGAATGCACAAAGCCTTCCCATTAGCTGTCGCTGCCCAATTTCATGCCTTCTGCTTCTCTCTCCTGGCACTGAGTTCCCTTCGTCATCTTCAGTGCTTCCTTATGGGCTTGAGTGCTGGCTGGCACAGTGATGTCTGGAGTGCAAGTCAAGCAGCAGCTGGTGCCAAAAGCTGCTGCAGAAGGAGGTCTCTGCCTTTTTTTGCTGGGGATGAGCATGCTTCATGTTCAGATGCCTCCTGCAGAGCATGATTTTAGTCTTTACGCCCATCCTCGAGGATCCTCTGGGGGTTTCCTTGCACTATACAGAGCCCTACAGAGCATACAGGGGGGCATCCTAAGCCAGAGGCCACCCAGGTGAGCCACCATACTGCCTCCTGTCTGTGTAAGGGTGCTCGGGGACAAGAGGAGGAAGTGAGGAAGCCAGCAGGGATGTTCTTCCAGAATGTTCTTCTGCCCTCCAGCAGCTTGCAGCATGACACCCTTCATAGTCTGAATAATTAATATGTTGCATGCTTTGAAGCCTCGTACTGAATTGGAGGTCCATGAGGCACGGCTGCAAGTTGTACCTCCTAATGTAATGTCTCTGTGAGTCTCAAGTGAGGTTGCTGGGAAGCAAGCTAGCAAGCTTTGACAAAGCAAACAAGACAAAGACAATGTGAGGAGGAGATGGTTGGGAATGCAGCCCTGCTGCAGGATGATTCAGGCTGCAGTGGGGGAGCAGGATGCTGGCTTATGTGTAGATGGGGGCCAGGTTCCTGGCCCCAAAAGCAGCTGTTCTTTTAGCATGTCTGCAGGTCCTGCTTGGTAATGAGGTGAGTTGTTTCTGTGATGGGGGGCACTGCTGCCAATGGCTGGCCTTGTCCTCCGGACTATTCATAACCTTCTGCTTTCTCATGAAGAGGTTGTCCTCATTTTCCCCCTCCTAGTCTTAAAAAGAGATGTTTCACAGTGTCCCAGGCAGTGCATTTCTGCAGTGCTCCTGCCATTTTGTCATGCTCTGTGCTCTTGTGCTGGGAAGCAGCATGAGGTACAAGCGCTCGCTTAGGAAGTGTGTTCTTGTGCCCTAGGCTGCCAGCTTTGCATGCTTAAAAATAGGGCTTAAATCCTCTCCTGGGTACAAGAACCACACAAGAATTTGAGAGAGCTTTCAAAGGGGGAGGAGGAAGATATTTGAGATCTGGAGCCAGGATGGGGCTACCAGAAATCCTCTCCACCTGCTGAACTCATGCCCTGGCTTATATTAGGTGCATGGTATCCTGATGAGTGCCATCCCTGCTCCATGCTCCTGGGACGTGCAGTTGATGATTTGAATTGAGCAGTGCTGTGCTGAGCAGGAGAGCTCACTGCTAGAAGATGGAGTTCTGTGAGGTGTGGTTTCTGCTCCCTTCACGTGCTGGTCCTTGTGGTGGCACTGCCTGACTTCTGTCCCTTGGGTCCTGCTACTGGAGGAGCGAGGTGGGACTGTGCTGTGCTGTGGTGATGCTGCTGGGCAGAGACATCTCTTCCTGGTTTTTGCAGAGCTGTGTAGAGGAATGCTCTTCTGCTCCAAGCCATGCACCATTCTCCTTGCTCCTTTGTGCCCATCCTGCCCGCTCTGTAGGATGGCCCTCTGAGAATAAAGCCTCGTGGCTGATGCAGGGCTATGCATGTGAATAACTGAGCTCTGCAAAGCCATAACTAGATCTCTCACTGGTAAGTGCTGTTCTCTTCCATGCAGGGAAGCTGAGTGAGCAGCCTCAGACCATCCCAGGTGGCAGCTATAGGGTTTGATGCCAGCTCCCAGCTCAGCTGTGGCTGGGCGGGCTTGGGAGCACTTCAAAGGGACTTGGAGCAGAGATTAATCCCTGAGCTTATTGACTGTGGTTTTCCAAGCCTGCATAAAACCTGACAGACTGAAACTTCGGCACTGGTGCTGCAGCTGCTTGTGTTGGCAGAGGCAAGGAGGGCTTGGCCACCATTGCTGTGTGGCTTCTGGGCTGGCCTAGCACAGGCACCCCCTGGCAGCCCCAGCAGGGTGAAGGAGAGGATGGAAGATGTCTCATGAAGAGAAATTTCCAGAGTGGGAAGGAAGGGAGGACATTCTGTGGGTCCTGCTGCTGTGGGTCTTATCTCCACCCAGCCTCGTGGTGGGCTGCTGGCTGCCCTGTCCTTGTGCTCCTCTGGGCCCAGGACAGGGCCGTGCTCCTTGGCTGTCCTGAGGTGCTCGCTCTCTCTTCCAGGCTCTCCACCAGCTGTACTACGACCCCAACATCGAGAACAAGAACTTGGCTCAAAAATGGCTGATGCAGGCGCAGGTGTCCCCGCAGGCCTGGCACTTCAGCTGGCTGCTCCTCAACATGGACAAGGTGCCCGAGATCCAGTACTTTGGCGCCAGCGCCCTGCACATCAAGATCTCCCGCTACTGGAACGACATCCCGGCCGACCAGTACGAGAGCCTCAAGTCCCAGCTCTTCACCCACATCACTCGCTTCGCCGGTGGCTCCAAGATCGTGCTGACCAGGCTGTGCGTGGCGCTGGCTTCGCTGGCGCTCAGCATGATGCCCGAGGCCTGGCCCTGTGCCGTGGCCGACATGGTGCGCATGTTCCAGGCCGAGGACTCCAACGTGGACGGGCGGGCACGCTGCCTGGCACTGCTGGAGCTGCTGACGGTGCTGCCTGAGGAGTTCCAGACCAGCCGGCTTCCCCAGTACCGCAAGGGCCAGGTGCGCAGCGTCCTGGCGCAGGAGTGTGGCTCCGTCTTCCCCTTGCTGGAGCAGCTGCTGCAGCAGCAGGACTCTCCGGGCTTCATCAAGCAGAAGGTGTTGAAGTGCTTCTCCAGCTGGGTCCAGCTGGAGATCCCTCTGATGGACTGCGAGAACCTGATCCAAGCAGCTTTCACCTCCCTGCAGGACCCGGAGCTCTTTGATACAGCGGTAGAGGCGGTTGTCAATGCCATTTCCCAGCCGGATGCCCAGAGGTAAGGGCAGCTCTTCCTACATGCTGCTCCCGGGCATCTACAGGGGAATGGAATAAGCAGGAGAAACCTCAGTCATTTTCTAGCTACTGTTGGCCCTGGAGATAATGATGGTTTGGAAGAGGGAGAGGTTATAAGCAACTGTATTCTGCTGGTCTCACATGGTTGGTGCTGCAAGGCTTTGCACCACAGCTGACTAGTGGGCATCTTTGTGTTTTGCATGTTATTGCTCCTGCCCACCATGCTAGAGAGCTTTCCCAGGGGTATGGGCTGGGCTAGTATAGCGGTGCTGCTCACAGGTTGCCTGGCATGCTGTGGGGACCAGAACATGTGATTTGAGCACTGCTTGTACCAGGTTTGAGCAGCAGCACCCAGGATCCCCAGCCCTCCTTCAAGCAGTAAGGGCGCAGTCACAGCCCCTCTCCAGCAGGCATGCTCGTTTCTCTGGCTCCTTGTGCTGGGCTCTGTGGCCCTGATGTGGGGGCGGCTGCCCTGGCTGCAGCCAGAGATGCTTCTCTGTCTTGTGCTTCAGGCTGAACCAAGGAGCATATCTGATGCAGAGATAATAAAACCATACCTGGCTGTCTTCTCCCTGCCTCTGACTCCAGCAGCTCAGTCCAGCTGTGTGCTCAGCCTTTGTTTGTGGCTACCCAGAGGTGGTCCTTCAGCTCAGTGCAATGGGACTCTGAGCTCGTTGGCTTGGCTACATTGTCCAAGTTGCTGTTGGCTCCTAGGACCGATGCCCATAGAAGAGAAAGTGCATCTCCTCCTGCTCCATCGGCCACATCTCCTGGCTGCTTAGCAACCTTTTCCATCCCCGCCAAGAGGAGGGCTTAGCTGAAGCTGTGCTGAGTGTTGCATCACGCAGACTCCAACCCTCTGCGGCGGTGCGGATGCTGCTGCAAATGCCGGCACTGAGCCTTGCCTTGGCTGACTGCCTCTGGCATCCATGGAGGTGTGCTCTGCAGTGGTAGAGGTGCTGCTGCTGGTCATGACCAGTGTCAGCGTGCAAAGAGGATTTTGATGCATTGCTCTGTGTCGGGTGCTCACCCCACCACTTCCTCCTGTCCTCCCCCCAGGCAGCTCTGTCACTGATGGCAGAGCTCCCCCCTCTCTGAATATGGGGACAGTGGGGCCATTGTCACCAAGCTGCCCTGCCAGGCAGCGTGTGGTGCGGCTGGCCGCATCAGTGGGGGCATTGGCTGCGGGGGGGCTGGCTGGAGCAGGGCTCTGCTCCCTGCTGAGGTCCTGGGTGTCTTTTCAAGACAGAGCCAGGGGCAGGGACCCTGCATTTCTCCTGAGCTCACCCCGGTGCCAGCAGTCCCGCCTTCTGCCTTTGTTGCTCAGCTACAACATATCCAGCTCCTCCTGAAGCCCCCGAGGGAGGCTCCCGACCTTTCTCTCTCTTTTCTTGACAGTCTCAGAGGCTCACACTGCTTTTCAGCTGCTCTCTTCCTCCCCAGTCTTTTGCCTGCTCCCTGCCACACAGAGCATTCTTGATGCCATCCTGCTGCCTTGCCCCCTGCCACCCAACCTGTGCTTTGGGTTTGTCCCTGGATTCCCCCTTCGTGCTCCTGCAAAAGAAGGACAAGGTTTGTTTCCCTGCCCACGGGGTGTTTGTTCCAAGGCTGGATGCTGTCCTTCTGTTGTGATGCACTGGGAGCTGGCAGCTGCAGGCCCTTGATGCACACTATTGCTTTCTGGAGCAGTAGGGCTCTTGAGTCATAGATGGGCAGGCACCAAGATTTTGTTGCATCTCTTTGGCAGAAGAGACTTGGGCTGGATTTTCTGTCTCATTTGAAGATTATCCTCAGGCTAAGCGGGTCAGAGAGCCGGGCTGCACATGCTGGAGCAGAGCTTCAGCACTGGGTGGTGGTGGAGAGTGGGGAGGGGGCTTAATGGAGGGGGTAAGTTGTGCAGCACCAGGCACCACCTGCAAGAAGCAGAGTGCTGCTCAGCATCTGGCACTGGACCCCTACAGAGGGGTTTCACTGTAAGAGTTTTCTGAGAGCCTCATTAGAAGCAGATGCATAATAGGTTGTGGATTTTCTGGGTTGTTTTTTTTTTTTTTTTTGTGAGGACTTGGCTTAGATTTGGGTCATGAGGAATCAGGTTGTTCCACATGAGCTGCCCATGTCCCCCCTCAGCTGGTCACAGGAGCTTTTCCCCATGCACCGTGCTGTGGTCTCTCTCTGATAAGGGTTGGAGAGGGTTGTGGGAAGAGCAGGAGTTGCTGGTCCCAGAGAGGAAGCACAGGTTTGGGAAATGACCGGGCAGACTCACATAAATATCAGTTCAGCTGCTAAATACAAAGATAGCAAATCTTGCCCAGGAGAACTACACAGATGGCAGGAAGGGAAGGGGAATAGGTAAGGAGATGTCACTGTGTGACTGACATGTTCTCCATCCGCACCATAGCACTGTGTTCCTGCACTGCTGTGTACGTCATTCACAGTGCTCCAGAGACCTGGAATTGATTAATGCTTCAGCAGCCCTTCCCCAGGAGCTTTTTCCAGGAGGAGGGGGGCAGAGAAGGAGGAGGTGGCCCTCGCAGTACAGCCCAGTGCAGGAGCTCCGGTGGAGATGTTCTTGCATCTTCTGCTGGCCCAGAGCTGTGAGCTGCTGCCACCAGCATGGCTTTGTCCCTCTGCCGGTGGCAGCTGATAGATCCATTTACTGCTAATGAGCGGCAGGAACAAGGACAGCCCGCTGCAGTGGGATGGACGTGCAGCTCTTAGTGCCATCAGCTGCTCCCCAGGGGAGGGCTGGCACTGCAAGCTGCAAGTGCCTCCTGCTCCCCGCAGCCTCGCCCCTGTGCGGCAGGGAGCTGCAGCTCCAGATAACACGCCTCGCCGGGCAGGTAACTGACAGCCGGCTGATGAGCCTCCAGCACAGCCGCTCTCCGGGGGCCCTGGGCTGCGTTTCACCTTCCCTGCCTCCTTGCTCGTTGCCTTGGTTACAATCGCTTAGGAGGGGAGGCTGATGTGAGCGAGGCTGCCTGGAAAGGGAGATCAGGGGAGCCCTGTGGGATGCAGCCAGTAGAGGGGGCTGGGGCCATGCGGTGGGGCTGGCATGGATCCTGCAGCAGGAGGAGCCCCTGCTGGGGTCACACAGGTTCACAGTGGCAGCTCTGGATGTGAGCAAGGAGGTGACAAACCCAAAGAGCTGCCCAATGAGCTGATTGTGGCAGTGACAAACCACTGCTGGCCCAGGTGTGCTGAGAGGAGTGTCGTGGAGCCTTGGTGTGACGAAGGATTTGCACGGGGCTAATGCAGAGTGATGGCAGAAGTGATGCGGAGTGATTGCAAAGGCTCCAGGAGCTTCAGCTGCTTGTCTTCTCCCAGCCATGCCACCAGTTGGAAGAAGAGGTCATGGAGCAGTAAAGCCTCGCGGATGTGTCCTGCTCCACAATGCAGCTTTGTGGCTGGGAGCTCTCGGAGTTGTCAGGCGGGGTGACAGACAACACCTGGCACTGATCAGGCTGTGCTTGCAGGTATGTGAACACCCTCCTGAAGCTCATCCCCCCAGTGCTGGGGCTGCAGGAGCAGCTGCGCCAGGCGGTCCAGAGCGGGGACATGGAGACGTCGCACGGGATCTGCCGCATCGCTGTGGCCCTGGGGGAGAACCACTCCCGGTGAGTGCTGTCCCTCTGCCCCTGGTGTATCACCACACCTGTAGTGCTGGTGTGACCGTGCTCTCTGCTCCCCAGGGCACTGCTGGACCAGGTGGAGCACTGGCAGAGCTTCTTAGCCCTGGTCAACATGATCATGTTCTGCACGGGCATCCCTGGGCACTATCCTGTCAATGAAACCACCAGTTCCTTGACACTCACCTTCTGGTACACGCTACAGGTCAGTGACCAAAGGCTTAAGCCAAAAGCAGGAGGAAGTTCACGAATATTGGCCTTGGGGCTCGCTTTACCACCCCTGGTATCCCTTCCACACTTGACTTCTCCCCTCCCACCATAGGATGACATCCTCTCCTTTGAGCCAGACAAGCAGGCTGTGTACCAGCAGGTGTACAGGCCTGTCTACTTCCAGCTGGTGGATGTGCTGCTGCACAAAGCCCAGTTCCCCTCCGATGAGGAGTACGGTTTCTGGTCGTCGGATGAGAAGGAGCAGTTTCGGATATACAGGTGCGGTTGCAGCCAAGGCCCTTCTTTATTTGGGTAGCAGGAGCAGGGCACAGACCTGCCTTTGGGTTGTAGCATGTCTGGGCTTGGGCAGCATTTGGTAACCTCCATGTTCTCTACAGGGTGGACATCTCTGACACGTTGATGTACGTGTATGAGATGCTGGGTGCTGAGCTCCTAAGCAGCCTCTATGACAAATTGGGACGTCTCCTGACCAACACAGAGCAGCCATCCACGTGGCAGGTGAGCAAGTCGGGCACCAGGCTGCTGCCTGCCTGCCCCATGGGGAGCATCATCAGAGGGGGCTGTTCTTTCCACGGAGCAAGAAGGAATGTGAATAGAGATGAAAAATATGATCTCCTTGACATGCAGGCTCTCAAGAGCCTGTTGAAATGGTTCTTCATTTGCATCCCTGTCCTTAGAGCCAGAGGCAAGCTGGAGTTTGACCTCGGTCCTTTACCACTCTGTGTCTTGTGCCGCTGTGGCACAGCAGAAATGCTGGATTCCTATCCTTTCTGCATTGCCACTCTGCCGGTCACCATGAGCCCTTGACCAGAGGAGAGGCTTGTGTGGGGTACCCAGGTTTGCTGTCAGTGCCTGCAGAGTGCAGTGCTGAGATATGATGCAGAGCCTGGAGCAGAGTGCAGGGGAAGCACAGGGTCCTCTGTCCCGCAGGCTAGTAGGCATGTGTCTGTTCATCTTGGCATCCCCATCAGCTAGCCATTGCTATCAGACTCTGGTGGCTAAAATACTGCCTTGTTATACCCTGATGACACCCTGGTCTGGGGTGGGCCATGTCCCCTGTCCTGAAGCCTGGTGTGCCTATTGGCTCTGCCCGTGCAACTATCTCCCCTCTCCCAGCATCCTTGGTCTCTGCTGCTGGTTCCTGAGCAAGTGCCAGGGCAGGGGCTGGGGGATGGCTCTGGGGTCTAACAAATGGCTCTGTCTCTCTCCCTCACCCCAGCACACGGAGGCCTTACTGTATGGTTTCCAGTCCATCGCCGAGACCATTGATGTGAACTACTCTGATGTGGTGCCAGGGCTGATCGGCCTCATCCCCCGTATCAGCATCAGCAACGTGCAGCTGGCCGACACGGTCATGTTCACAATCGGTGAGGCTCTTGCTCATGCGCAGGTTGGGGTGGGAAGAATCCATCCAGGGTTGCTTTTGCATAGCTCCCTGCCTCCCCTGCATGCCCATCCTTCTTGCCACAACAGTAGAAAGCAAACTGAGCAGCCCACTGTATGAGGACCGAGGGTCTGGCTGCTGCAACGTGGTCTGACCCTGTCTGTGTGCACAGGAGCCCTCTCAGAGTGGCTGGCTGATCACCCTGTCATGATTAACAACGTGCTGCCGCTGGTGCTCCAGGCTCTGGGCAACCCTGAGCTCTCCATCTCCAGTGTCTCCACCCTGAAGAAGATCTGTCGGGAGTGCAAGTATGACCTGCCGCCGTATGCCGCCAACATCGTGGCTGTGTCGCAGGTGAGAGCTGGGAGCTGACAGCTTTATGGCAGCCCTTTCCTCTGTTTGGATTAGAGGGAGTGAAGCAGCAGCTCAGGATATCTTGCTTGGTGTGGGGAGCTGTTGTCTGTACTGTCCCTGGGACGCTAGGAACCCAGTGTCCTCCTATGAATGCACAGTTGTCCCATGGGCTTTCTTGGCTTTGAGATCTGGGACAGATGGGGCTCAGAGTCCCATGACATTTAGGAGGCATTAGGAGGTGAACTGGGCTTGAGGGAGGTGCTGGATCTGCATGGGAGCAGGGAGGTCTTGAGCCTGAGGGACACTATTTCCTTCCCCTGTGGGCAAACAGCGAGGAGCCTACAGTTCAAGATGGTAGGTACTGGGCAAGTACAAGGGGAGAGGGCTGTGGAAAGGGGTTTATTTCACACCTTCTTCAGGAAAACTTCTTTTGCCACTGCTGGAGACTGAGCCCCGGGCTAGAAGACCCGCTGGCCTGATCCAACAGACCATTTCCTGCATCTGTTGCAGCCTGGCTGTTGAAGTCAGTGAAGGGTTAATTCTGGTGGGTCCCCTGCTCCTTTCTGCTGGGAGAACCAAGCCCTACTCGAGTCATCCTGCTGCAAAGCCTGCCTGATCTCAGGGTTTCCCTCCCAGACAGTTGAGCAAGGTGCATGGGGAAGAGATTACTGCAGGATGAGAATTTTGCTCCCTGCCTGTGCATAGCTGTATGCTGCTTGTCCTCCAATTGCTGCTAGTTGTCTTCTGTTTCAGTCCTGTCCCTGGTAGGGAGAAGGCTTTCTGCAGCACTCATTCTCCTTTTTCTTTCTCCTTTTCCCTTTTGTAGGAGGTGTTGATGAAGCAGATTCACAAGGTAAGAGGCACTTTCTCATACTCCTGGATGTTCTGCTCAACTCCATGCCCTTTAGTTGTGCTCACTGAGAATATGTGAGGGATGCCACCATTTGTTAGGCTGTCCTGGAGGAAAGCTCAGCAATGCAGCCAGCTTGGCGTGGCCAGGAATACCTGCTGGCAGCCACCCACTGCTCAGCTAATCTTAGGGCTTTCTCTGCATGTGGGCTGTAGGGGTATATCCTCAAAGAGGGAAGCTCCCACAGAGATGTAACTCTAGCAGTTCCTTCCAGGGATACAGGGTTACAGCTGCAGGCATGTCTCGGAGAGAAAAAGGAGTGAGAGCATGGGGACATGGCCCCTGCAAACAGGAGAGGGGGGATGCTTGACTTCACAGAAGCTGAGACAGCTCTGTGCAAAGAGTGGGTGGTGCTGGCAGGGATGTCTCAGAGCAGTGCCTGCAGCAGGGTAGTGACGTGCTGCTTGTGTCTCTTTCTGACCCAGACAAGCCAGTGCATGTGGCTGATGCAGGCTCTTGGCTTCCTGCTCTCTGCGCTGCAAGTGGAGGAGATCCTGAAGAACCTGCACTCCCTCATCACTCCCTACATCCAGCAGCTGGAGAAGCTGGCTGATGAAACAGTGAGTGCCCTTGTGCTGCTGCCTTCCTCCTGCAGGGCTGCTTCTGTTGGCTATGTCCTTGGGGTGGTGTGTCAAAGCAGCACTCCTGAACATGGGTGGTCTTTCCCCTCACCCCAACACAGGCAGAGAAGTGACAAGCAGTATCCCACTAACCAGACTGAGTTGTGGGCTTTTTGCCCCTTACAGCTAGTCGTCACCAAGAGCTCCTTGGCTCTTGCGAGCTGTGTGTTGTCTGGATCAGCAGCTGCCACCCTAGGGTGGGGCCCACACTTTGTTCCTATGTTGTCCTCTTTTGTGTAATGTCCTACATGCCACCCCAGTGATGGCTGTCTTGACTTGCTCTCTGTTGGAGTGAGCGATGGCATTTGTGAGCATCCTCCAGCATTTCTCTACTAAGAAGTATGGGTGGAAGGACTCTTGGTTCATCCAGGAGGTAGAGAGGAAAGACTAGGACTCAGACTCATTGCAGAGAGCTTCTCTCTAGCACTTTGCTTCTGCAGACGCTGCTCCTCAGGATCACAGGGGCATGACCAGTGCTGAGCAATGCAGTCTGTGTCACACTCTGCCTGTATTTTCTCTGGCAGCCCAATCCCTCCAACAAGTTGGCCATCATCCACATTCTGGGGCTGCTCTCCAACTTGTTCACCACCCTGGATATCAGCCATCATGACGACGACCACGAAAGCACTGAGGTCAAGAAGCTGCCAGTGCAGCAAGGACCCAACCCAGTGAGTACAGCAAGGCTCTTTGCCAAGTCATATGCCCCACTGTTGGTGGCTGGTGGCAGGAGAGTCAGTAAGGGGAGTGAATGGAGAATGCATTGCGTGTCATGAAGATGGTAGTTGGTGCATCCAGGCCGTGTATAGATAGCACTGGACCTCCTGTCCCCAGTGCTCTGAGACCAATTCTTTTCATCCTTCTCATTCTTCCCAGGTGGTGGTTGTTCTGCAGCAGGTCTTTCAGCTCATACAGAAGGTCCTGAGCAAGTGGCTGAATGATGCCCAGGTGGTGGAGGTAATTGGGATCCTCATTGTTACTGCTCTGCCTGTGCCTTCCCTTGTCTGAACAGAGGATGGCAATGGATGGAAACAGAGTGATGAGACCCCTTTGTAATAGGGGTCACTTTCTGGGTTATTCAGGCCAGTGCTGCTTGTTGCCATCAGCATCATCTGGCTATTGTCCATCTTTTTCCCCAGTGAGCCCTACTCTTCTCCAGTTTAGAGGCTGTGCCATCAACAGAGGAATGAAAGCTGGGGCTACCAGATGCTTATGTTCCCTAACGGAGGAGCTCTGCTCTGACCTGGGACCTGTGTCATCTCTGCTGTCATTTCTCTATCTCACTCAGCCCAGTAAAGTCCAGATAAGCAACTCATTCCTGGCACTGGGGGAAGGCCTTATCGCAATATCTGAGAGCAGCAGTGGAGCGTCCAGTGCAATCTGCTCTAGGTGTCCCTGGTTGGGCAGAGATGTTGAACCAGATGACCTCCAGAATTCTTTTCCAACCTCAAGCATTTATTTGATTCTGTCATCATGTGCTGCAGAGCAGGGTGTCATTTACTAGAGCAGATACGAGCCCTCTTCCTGACTGTTCTCCATGCCTGTTGCTCTGCCAAGCCCTGCCTCATAGGTAGAGGTCTTCCATCACTGTTGCTCATGCTGTCTCTCTTCTCCCACCTCAGTCTGTCTGTGCCATCTTTGAGAAGTCTGTGAAGACCCTCCTGGATGACTTTGCTCCCATGGTGCCCCAGCTGTGTGAGATGCTGGGGCAGATGTACAGCACTATTCCCCAGGCCTCTGCCATCGACCTGACACGACAGGTAAGGACCACGTGGACATGCCAGGGCTGCGGGTCCAGGGAAAGCTGGAAGGGTACAGAGCAGCTTCAGTCCTTCTCCATTGTCTCTTGCAGCTGGTTCACATCTTTGCTCACGAGCCTGCCCACTTCCCCCCCATCAAGGCCCTCTTCTTGCTTGTTACCTCAGTCACGCTGACCCTCTTCCAGCAAGGTATGTGTGATTAACTCCTTGTTGTGCTGGGGCTGTTGTCAGGCTGTTGCATGCATGGATTCTGGAGGCGTCTTTCCAGGAATGGCTGTTCTCACTCCTAGCTAAGCTAATGGGGCCATCTCTTTGTCTTGGATTCATCCCAGCCCTTGGAAGGTGGGTTCCTTCCCTGCAGGGCTGTGGAAATGGGGATCCCCAGTGCGGGGCTGGCAATGCAGGTGGCAGCCCCACTGCTGCACCAGGGTTGGGTGCTGTGTTCCAGGCTAGAGCAGGAGCCCAGGCCCGCTTGGCTGCATGTTTACCAGAAGGTCCTGGGGTTTGTCCGTGGACCAGTGGTGCTTATAGTTGCCAGGAGTCAAGGCCTTGCATAGGCAGCAAGCCATGTGGATGAACGTCTGCAAAACTTTTTCAGACCCTGCTGTGTCCAGTATTTTCACTCAGGGCAGGGCCTCGTGTCTGGCTCGCTGCCTGCATTACTTCCTTGCTATGGAAGGTTAATGGGGTTAGGACAGGCCCCTCCACACTGCAGCTCCAACCAGCCTCCTGGTGACTCACCCTGTGACAGGGATGAGTGCCCTTTGGAGCTGCTGGCTTAGGTCCTTCAACATCCCAGTTACGTGAGCTTCTCACGTTATCAGTAGGTAACATGATGCCTCCCCAGCCCAGGGCTCAGAGTGGGGAATGCTGGAGGCCCTCACTTCCTTGGCACACCATGCTCTGAGCACATCCTGCCATACTCCGGTGTCACTTGAATGGATAACGAGTGAGCCAGGCTTACCCCAAGTTCAAGTCCCTGCTTCTGCCAGTGGCATGGGTGTGTGTTCGTGCAGGTCCTCCTGCCTTGCATTTGAGCAGCAACAAGAACACTGGCAGGAGGAAAGGTTGAGGAGGGCAGCCTGCTGTGTGCCCCAGGCTGCGCTCCCACTCCTGGGCTCCTCTCCATACGGCAGGAGAGGGTGAGAGGCATGAGCCTGCAGGGGCTGAGACGTGTCCATGCAGGGAGTCAGATGGCAAGGTAGGGCGAGTGGTGCTGGCATGGACACCTCTGGGCACCGGTTGGTCTCTGGATGTGAGTCTCGAGGAGCATTGGGTAACGGGGTGGGAGAGTGGCTGTGCCAGGGGTTCCCGTGCAGCTGGCGCTGATGTCGAGCATGTGCACGCCTGAGCCCGGCTGGGCCTGCCGAGCATTTGCTGAGGTGTTGTCGTTCACTTGCAGTTACCTTCCAGGACCAAACGGTGCTCTGAAGACACCCGCTCAGTCCCCACAATGCAAAAGCTCTAATTCTCCTTGTGGAGATGGTGCCCAGCTAGCCCCTGCTCCTCCTCTTCCTCCCCAAGGACACGAAGATCTCCTCCTTGGCTCTGCAGCACCCAGGTGCTGGCTGGAGACCCTGGGGCTTCAGACCCTTTCCTTTGCGGTTTCTTTCTGTTCTTGGGTTCTCCAAGTTTCATGATTTTTTTGTATGTTTTGTTTCTTTAACTTGCTTCAAGCTGCTCATGTTGCCCATCCCCTCTCCTACACACCCCTTCTCCCTTACACTCCTGTTTTCACTTGTAAATTCTTTCTGTATCACATAACTATATGATGTTGAGTTGCTGTTTGTATGATTTTTCTCTTAAGTTACATCTTTATTATATTTTAGGGCCCAGGGATCATCCTGATATTGTTGATTCATTTATGCAACTCCTGGCACAGGTGTGTTTTAGTTTCTTATTCATTCACTTTCTGTTCTCTCTCTTTCTCTTTTTAATTCAATTTAAACCTATTTTTAACTTTCTGTTGACAACGTTTTTTTTTTCCTTTTAGTTGAATATCGAGTTTCTCCATCTGTTTCCGTGGAAGTTGAAAACAAAACATTCTCCTTTAGTTCTGGGTTCGCACCATCCCCAGGGCAGTGCCCTCCTTCAGCCCCCAGCTGCCACCCCCTTGCCTGGCCTGGGGGCACAGCAGAAGCCAGCTCCAGGGGCTTTGGGCTGCTGCCACGGTCATGCTCGGGGGGGGGGGCAGAAAATTAGAGCATAAAGGGGTTGTGGTCCTACTGATCTGCCTGCCCTGCGATGCATCCTGCAGAGCTGGGACAGGCGGACCTGGCTGGCTGTTCCTGCAGCCTTACTGAGCTTGGCACTGTGCTGTGTGGCCACCAGGTCCTGCTCTGGACCATCTTTTCTGCCGGGACGAGCAACCTGCTTGTGGTGGCACCAGAAGCCCGGGTGCCACCATGCCCTGGCAGCGTTTCGGGGTGGTGGCTGCAGCTCCTGTGCCGCCAGTTTGATGGCGTGCAGCCACGGTTTGTGTCGGGAGGAGTCGCTTGCCAAGACCCCTTTGGTGCAAGGGTGATGGCAAGGGGACAGTGTCTGTGGGGCTGTGGCTGTGCAGCTGTGCTGGGGCTCTCCATGGGGCTACAGCGTGGAGCTGCTGGTGCGAAGTCCTGTTTGCTTGGCAAAGCAGCAGTGGCACTTCTGATGCTGCTGGCTGTGGGTAGTCAGGGTCTGCATTGTGCTGCGTGTGTGTATATACACCTGTTTGGGGTATTAGGAGCCTTGTGTGTTCCAGAGCCTGGTGTCCTTGAAGTCATGTCCCCTATAAGAGCTGCTGGTAGTGAAATGGGAGCTGGCAAAGTCACTTTCTGCTTCATTCCTATAGTGTCCACATTTGACTGTGTGAAGCATGTTAAGTTCATGGGAGATAAACTCCTTGAGGGTATGCAGTGTCTGACCACTGTCCAAGACAGGCTGCTGGGCTGGGTCCAGCTTGTTTTGAGAGTGAGGCTGTTGCTCTGACTCCTCTGATGGCTGCTTGGCCATGTGCCCATCCTGTAGAATGGAGCAGGCCTGGGGCTGGTGAGGGGACAGCTCATCACCAACCCACCTGTGTCCATACATCACACTTTGAACTGCAGATCCTGTTTGTGAATCTCATCTCACAAACCATATTGTAGCATTTTCTTCCCCATTTTTCCTGTTAATAGACATAAAATAATTGAGATCATAGGAAGCATTTGCATATTTTTCTGGTGCCAGTCTTGAGACTTTTAACAAGTTTTTGAACATTATTTGAGGATCGGTGAATGGGATTTGAAGCTCGGTGAATGGGATGTGAGGTTTCTGAAGATGTCTTTCCCCTGCTGCTCAGACAGGTGAGGCCTCAGCTCCAACACAATGCTTCTGTAGATCCAGACTAGAGAGCACAGGGAATGGTATCCAGAAAGATCAGCAGAAGGTGAGAAGGAAAACTGGAGGAGATGCATGAGTCTTCAGATGTGTAAAACATAAGGCCACAGGCATAGATAAACAGCACTTTATTTTGAATGCAAGAAACAGTAATGGGAGGAGGTCATGGAAAAGGATTTGGGTTAGACGGTAGGAGGTGTAGCTAACAGCAAGGGGAAGCACTGACAGGTCGCCTGGGGAGCTGCTGTAGGAGGGCTTACAGGATTCTCAGTAAGCCCATTGCTCCTGGAGGGCACCAAGAGGTGATCCTGCCTTGGGGAGTGAGGGACTAGTCACCCCTCCAAGGTTGTTTGCTGTGTCCTTGGGAGGTACTGAGTTTTTCTTTAGCTTGGGATCCTTCTCCTTCTGGTGACAATCATGCTGCCAGTCCACCATCTCCAACAGCAGCCCAAGACCCCATGTTTCCTTGGGCTTTTTACTCCAGCAACCTCACAGAGACCAAAAACTCCCTATGCCCTTCCTCTCCACTCACATGTGGGACTCCTTCTAAGGTTTCCTTCCCTCCCTGAGTCTGTGGCTCTCCCAGGGCTGAGCACCCAGCAGGGTACTGTGAAACACAAGAATGATAAGCAAGAAATGAAATCCTGGCTCTCAGGACTTCAGGGGATGCCTGATAGCAGAGGTGCATCCAGTCTCACCACAACACGTTCTGCTTTCATAAAGCTGTTTCTAGAGTCTGTCCTCCCTAGGTCTTGCATCACTCTGTGTCTTTTTTGTGAATTTATGAGGTGGATACTGGAGTTCCAGCCAGTTACTTCCATCTTGCCAGCCTTGCGAAGAAAAGGGACGTGTCCCTCTGTCTCCTGCTTGCTCGAACTTCTGATACCTGCACATCAGCCTTCAGTCATGAGTGTGCAGGGAGCTGTCAGTGTGTGACTTAAGATCTCAGCTGACTTTTTGGCATATTTATCTGGGCTCAACTGCAGCCTGAGTCTGCCCAGTTTGTGCAGCTGATGACTTTGCCAATGTGTTAATTTGTGATCTGCTCCCGATGATGTCTGGCAGATCACAAGACCATGCTGGTTTAAATCAAGTGTCGTATGGATACTGGAGTCCCTGGAGTTATTCTTAGTACTCATAACCAAGTATAAATTAACCAGCCTTCCATAAGCCTTTGCTGAGCTGTGCTGGCACCCTTTGGGGTGGCCAGGCTGAGTGCAGGATGAAGCGAGGAGCATCAGTGATGTGTTTGTGAGTTCTTGCCTGGCTTCCACCCAGGAGGTACCACTTGCGCATGCTTGTGGTCATCCTGAGACAGGATTTGGTGGAGTGCACACCGCAGCCTGGCTCTTCCTAGGCTGCACGATCTCCAAACCATGATAGCTTATGTTGGCTCTTGGCTCAGGACAGTTTTCATGTCCAGCAGGAGCTGCTGGCTGGAGGCAGTGCCGCAGGCTGTGGGAACAGCACTCTCCAGTTCACCTCCCAGTGGCTGCCAGTGCTTCCACCCAAAGGCATGCAGTTCACCACCATTGTGGACCTCCGTAGCACCCTGGCAGTGTCTCCAGGGGCAGAATGTGCCTCGCTGGGCAGAAGATGTGGGACTTTCTTTGCCTGCCCATGCACTGTCCTCCAGCTCCTCCTTGCCTGTGCACGGTTATTACCTCCTGAGGCAGTGTTCCTTCCTAAGCTGGAGGTTCTACTCTATCAGGTGTGTACTTAGGGAAGATATGTTGGTCCTGGACGTGAGGAGAGTGCTCTGGAGCACTGCAGGAACCAGCTGTGCAGCACATACTATCCCTTGGCTGTGGGAGGAGCGCAGCTTGGTGGCCTCCCATGTCCCCAGGTACAGAAGAGCTGCTCTTCAGACCTCTCTGCAGGGTGTCCCAGCTCCACAGAGGAGAACCACGCTGTCCAGCCTGCAAGACCTACCTCCACAGCACCCGCTGCAGAGGACAGGGGGGATGTTTCCAGTGTGAAACATCTGCAGACCTGTCCTCATCCCAGAGCCGCACTGGCAAGAGACGTGGAGGACAGACGAGCTGTTAGAAGCCCCATGAAGAAGTGAGATTCTGCTGAGAAGAAGTAGCTGTGCCTACCCAGTGTGGCTTCCTCGTGGAGCAACTCCACAGGTTTCCATCTCTGTCTACATTAGATGTGTACACATGCCTGGATTGAGCTCGCATGCTGTGCTCCCTTGGTGGAGATGTCCTGCAGGAAGGAGTCCTCTTGTATCAGAGCACATTCACTCATGGTACTCACCAAGCCAGGAGCAGGTGCTACAGAGGGCCCACAGGAGTGCCTGGACACCTCTGGCTACTGAAGGCCAACTTGGCTAGGAGAAACACCATGCAGGTAGGTGGATTTGGTAACCTGAGCATGTTGGAAGACTTGTGCCAGCTGAACAGCTTTGCAGAATGGAGGAGTTGATGACTGCGTGGTGGCACCAGAGCCAGGCACCCTTGGCAGTATGCTGCTGGGGACAGCCAGGTGGCTTTAATGGATTGAAATGACAACATATCTTGTGTGTGTTTGTCCAGTATGGGGCTGAGCAGACTGCAGCAGAGCAGGGAGTGGGTGCGCAGCCAGCTAGCAGGCTGTCCTTGCAGTGAGCATGTGGGACAGGCTGTATATACACACACAGGCATAATGCAGCCCCTCGTCTCTCCAGTGAAGGCCACTGCTTGCATCTAGCAGGCAAGCAGTTCCCAGTGGCTGCACCACCTCTGTTGGGTATACAATGACTTTTGCGCCCAATCTGTCTCATCTCTTGCAGCGTGTGATGCAGAGTCAGAAAGGAGAAGGGGTAACCCTGAAACTTGCCAAGCTTCCTGCTGTCCAGTTATGTTCCCTGCAAGGGGTCAGTGGCCAAGGGTTTTCCCTAGAGGAGAAGGGGGACATAAGTCTGTTTGGCTCCAGGAGGGCTGGGTAGCTGTGGGCAGATGGCACTGAGCACTGCTGGCTGATGGCTGTCCATGCTTTCACACTGTGGAACAAGTTTGGAGGGCAGCATGCAGCTCAGCCCATGGAACAGAGACTCCACTCCTGGCTCTCAGACTCTTGGGAAGAGCTGTGGCTGCTGTTCCCACTGTTGCAGTGACAGTGGGAGAGGATGTATGATTGTCGTCCCCTGTGCCAGCCAATAGCGAGCAGAAACCCACCCAAGGAGCAGCAGGAACAGGCTGAAATGTTTTTGTCCTGTACTGCCCTGTTCTGGCATAGCAGGGACCAAGCCCAGCAGTGGTCCCATTGTGCCAGAGCTCAGGTTGTTCCCAGCAGTGGTGGAGTAGCTAAGCCACAGCAACTGGTGGGCTCACCAAGTGGCAGAATAAACCCAAAGTTTTTGGTCTCACACCGGCTGCTCGTGAATTGCCAAGCAGTTTCAGCATCTCATTCCCTCTACTGCTCTGCAGCAAGAGCAGAGCAAGTTGTTGGCCTAGGCTGGAGTCAAACAAAATGTGTGTCATTGAAATTGATGGCTGTGACCTCATGAACACTGGCAGTGAGAGGACCAAGCCAGCAGGGGCTGTTATATGCTGGGACTGCCTCCGCCTGTTCTGGGACAGGATGCCTCTGTCTGTGTCTGAAGCATTTGTGCATATACCACCTTAGTATCTATCCTCATGTCTTGGGGTCAGAGCTCCCCAAATGCAAATGGCCTTTGGATGTATGATTGGTGTTTTCTTGGGGAGAAAAGCGACCGTTTTCCTTCTGTACTGTGTGAATCTGCTGTTACCATGTATGTGCCCAGGTAAGTGTGCATCCAGGCAGAGGCTGTCTGGGGCGCCTGGATCCTTGGAGCCTTCCTGGCTGCTGCTGCAGAGCTGTGTTTATTCTGTCTGTCTGTGTGCCTTGCAGGCTCTGAAAAGGAAGCCAGACCTTTTCCTGTGCAGCAACCTGGACGTCAAGGCAGTATTTCAGTGTGGTGAGTACTGGTTCACACAGGCACACGTGGTTCACACAGGCACCTGCTCACCATCCCTGTGCAGAGTCCAGCCTGCTGCTCCTGCAGCTCTGTGAACACAGCAGCCAGGGACTGGGAACCGGTGCTGGTTTGGGATGGTGTCTGAGAGCTCTGGCCACTCACCTGAGTGCTTTGTGTCTGCAGGTGTCCTTTCCCTCAAGTTCCCTGAAGCCCCAACAGTGAAAGCATCCTGTGGCTTCTTTGTGAGTATCTTGGCTTCCTCAGATGCATGGGGACTGCATATCATAGGGATACACAGAGTGGCTACAGCCCACCAAGCAGAGCAGGAGCAGGGCTGCGAGTTGCACTGGGCAGCAGCTGCTCAGTGCTTTGGCACTGACTGGGTTGGATGCTGTGTTGCAGACAGAGCTGCTGCCACGCTGCGGGGAGATCGCCCCTGTGGGACAGGTGGTACATGAGAATGGCAAAGTGCTGCTGCAGGCGGTACTGGAGGTGAGTGGTGCTGGCATGGGTGGGTGCACTGGGCGTGATGCTGGGGCAGCAAGCACTGAGCTCAGCTCAGTCCCCTGGTGCATGGTTTAACAGGATCTGTGTGCTCTGTACAGGGTGTCGGTGGCCAGGCCTCCCGCAGCCTCATGGATCACTTTGCAGAAATCCTCTTTGCCTTGAACAAGCATTGCTTCAGCTACCTAAGCATCTGGATCAAGGAGGCCATGCAGCAGGATGGTTTTCCCTCAGCCCGCGTCAGCCCTGAGCAGAAAGAGACCTTCAGCCAGCAGATCCTTAGGTTGGTGTCCCCAGTGCTGTGCTGCAGCAGCTGCAGTATCTTGCACTGCTGTCCCTCCCACCTGCCTCACATCTGTCCCCTCCCTCTGTGTTAGCAGAGAGCGTGTGAACAAGCGGCGAGTGAAGGAAATGGTGAAGGAGTTCACGCTGTTGTGCCGAGGGCTGCATGGCACAGAGTACACAGCAGACTATTGAGCACCCAACCAGGAATGCGGATGGTTTGCCTGGACCAGCTCTTCCCCACCAGGAAGCCCCCGTCTTCCCTGCCCTGCTGCTGCAGTACAGCTCATAGAATAACCTTCCACCTAGACTTAACCTACTCGGGACGCTCCCCAGCTAGACTTGGTGGCCGCATCTCGGTGTCAGCATCTTTGTTCCCCCAGCATGCTCCCCCCTCACAGGGGATGGGAATGCCGGCTGCAGGAGGTGGGGAGGGGGGGCCCAGAACAGGACTGCCCCAGCACAGACTGCCCTTTGCTGCACTGCAGCCAGGCTGCCCACTCCTCCCCGGCACGGCCCTGCGGAGGGGAGGCTGCACAGCAGGGACTGGCTGGGCAGGTGGGCTCGCCCCCTGCTCATTTGTATGTGTGAGGTTGGGAGGGGGGAGGCCCCACACCTAATTATATTAAGGATATTTCTATGCTGTGGCTGTCATCACTGTTGTTACCTGCACTCGGGGACAGCCAAACTGAGGGTGTGGGGTGGTTACATTAAGGTTGATATGCCTACAGGCTCCTGTTCCCCTCTGGCTGGAGCAGGGATGGCAAAACTGGGAGTCTCTACTGTGTGCTGTGCTCTGCTGTCCAGCATGGAGCAGCTCTGGGTTATGCTCCTGCAGTGGGAACTGCATTCCCTCCACACATTGAGGGGCCTTCTGGCAGCACAGAGGATGTGCATGCCCTTTTGGCCTCTGCTCATTTTAGTTTCCTGTTCTCTTAGACAGGCTAGTGTGCAAGGCTGCAATCCCAAGGTAAGCCTTGTGATATGTTTTTGCTCTGGGATTCCAGCTATCACCTCCACACATCCCCTTCAACCTACACTTTATTCCAGAAGACAATTCGCTCACAACTCCTTCTCAGTTCAGCTTTAGTTAAAACCAGTAACCTATACAAGTCCCCAGTACCAGTGTTATCAGCTCCCATGAAGCTGTGACCTCTCCTGGTAGGGACAAAGCTCTTACTGCCCAGGCAATGTACAGAGCCTTTGTCAGCCAGAGTTGGACCAAGCTTCTTGTCCTTCCTGACCCTGTTTCTTGCCCTGGCTGCAAGCACAGGGGTGCAGTGGGCATTTCCAAAAACCCATGTACCTCCTGTTCTTCCCCTGCAGTCCATATTCAGCACAGGGCCAGACAGCAGCAGCTCCTCATCCTACTTGGAGCCAGCTATGGACCATTGTGAGATGTTTTCAGGTCTAACATAAACAGCATGCAGGCTCCTACACATCCTCTGCTCCTGGCTGAGAGCCAATGTTGCTGCCACATCACGACTGTTCACGGCCCTCATCCTCATAGGCAATGGCAATCCCTCGCCGGCCCTGCACAGCCTTGGAGATGGTTGTCTTCCCCAGCTGCTGCTCCAGGCCCCGCCAGCTGCGGGACTCCAGGAAGGTGGCTGGGAGGAGAAAAAAAGGGGGAGCTGTTTCTGGGGAGCAGGGAAGTGGCACTGCTCCTGTGCAAGCACTCAGCCCCACCACAAAACCAAACAAACCTGCAGGGCTGATCTCTGCCAGGGCCCGCGTCTGGTCCCTGCAGGCCAGAGTGGTGCTGGGGGGTGGCTGAGGAGCCAGGGAGTCGCAGAGGTAGGCAGCACGCATCTCCCCTGTGATTAGCGAGACATCAGGAATGGCCTCTGCTGCAGGCACTGCCGGTGGGAGCTCAGTGTAGGCACAGGCACCTGCCAGAAAAAGACAATGTCAGACTGCTGCTTGCGTCTCTCCTTCCCCAATGCCAAGTCAAGGCAACCTCCTGGCAGAGGGAGACACTTTTCAGAAGGGTATTGGCAGCTGATTTTCAGCTGTTACCTGGCAGCAGGTCTCGGAAGTCAGTGAGGTAGTTCCCTGTCCATTCCCGAGCTGGGTTACAGGCAAGCTCCAGCTCATAGGGGGTCACTATAGGCCGGTAATAGTCACTGGAGTCCAGCAGGGAGTTCTGAGCACAGGCCACCAGCACAAAGATGTCCACCTCCAGGAAGTTAGCCAGCTTAGCAGGGTTGGGCTTCCCCACACACAGCGTGTAGCTGCGCTTACCAGCCCTGCGCACAAGCTGGCGGAGGTGCTGCAGCACATCCAGGTAGCCAGCCACACCCAGGGTGCCCACCAGGATGCCCACCACACGGGCATCCCGCGCCCGCTCCACCAGGTAGAGGCGCCGCATCAGCGCCCGGTTGACATTGAGGGTCTCGCGGCGGCCATGCCCGGTGGCAGGGTCAAAGGAGCTGAAGGGGCAGCGGTTCCACGTCAACATAAAGCTGGTGAGGGCTAGGCCCTCGGCTCCCACATAGAACATGGAACAGTCTTGCAGCTCTGCCGCTGCCTCCATATGGAATCGGCGGCCAAACTGCCTCACTTCCCCAGGCAGTGTGGGGCTGGGGGGGTCCCCATATACCACCTGAGAGAAGATGATGTTGGGGTACTCGTGGCACAGCTGCTTTTGCAACTCACCTAATGAGAGAGGAAAGCAAGAACGGAACGTAAGCACCAATTTGTCAGCAGGACTGGAGGTGAGGAAAGGGCAGAAATGATGGTACCTGGGAGCACCCTCAGAACTCTCCCTTCCTCCCACACAGCACTCACCCATGGCGTGGGCATACACCACATCACTCAGCACCACCACACGGCTGTGCCGCTCAGGATAGAGTTCCCGGAAGACTTCAGCGCAGCGCCCAACATCCAAGGGCTGCCGCCCAAAGATGTGCAGCACCGGCAGCTTTCTGCAGGGACTGAGGCAGGCAGGGCCATAGTGCACCACGGCCTCGGCGCTCGCGTGCTCGGCGGCCACCTCGTCCACGCAGCAGCTGCGGGGAGACCCAGAGGCGTCGGTTGGAGACACTGAGTGCCCACCGAAGGGCGCTGTGCGGGATCTCCTCTCCGTGACACCTACCTGCCGTACGTGGTGTCTCCCAGCACGTACATCTCGGCTCCCGTCGCCTCCTCCATCCGGGCCGCCACGGCCGCCGCATCCGCCAGCAGCGCATCGGGGAACTGCAGGGCGACCTGAGGGGAGAATAGGGTGAGAAGACGAGGAGAGGAGGCTCTCAGTCCCCGCCCCGCCGCCTCCACACACCTTATGGAAGCCGCCGTCCCGCACGAAGGCGGCGGCGCGGTCCACCTCGTAAAATTCGTCTTTGTCTCCCCGCGGGGACGCTGCCGCCGGGTCCAGCGTCCGCCGCAGCACGGCCGCCCCATCGGAGCTGAAGGCCGCCGCCATATTGCGGGATGCCTACTCCCGCTCCCAACGTGCGGCGCGTAGCCGGCCAATAGGAAGCCGGCACCGCCCCTTTCAGTTTCCGGAAATCCCGCCCCCGACGGAGAGCAGCCAACCGCTCTTCGCGATGAGACGAAAGGAGGAAAGGGCAGTCAATGGGAAGAGGCGTCCGTCGCGGTGCCTTCTGGTCTCTGTAGTTCGTTTCAAGCTGTCAGTGTGAGCAGCCAATCAGCGCGCGCGGAAGCATCACGTGCTTTCCGCCGGGGCGCTGCGGTTCCGCTCCCGTGTGCGGCGCGGGTCAGGTGACGCGCTCGGTCCTGGCCGGTGCCGCTCGGTTTCGCTCCGCGCCGCCGCCGCCATGACGGGGCTCGCGCTGCTGTACTCCGGGCTGGGCCTGGCCTTCTGGACAACGCTGCTGGGCATCGGTGAGCTGGCGGTCTCGGTGGCCGCGGGGTGCTGGGGATGGAGGCTGTGCACCCTGTGCACGGGAAGCCCCGGGGAACGAGAGCGCCCTGTGCTGTGCGCGGCCCGGAGCCGCGCATTGTGTCAGGGCTTTTCGGGGGGAGGCCGAGCAAGGAGCTACGGGTGTTGAGACCTCGCGGTGCCGCAGCCTGAGGAGCCTGGGGCCGCCGAAGGGCTCCCTGTCCCCATTGCAAGGCCTTTATTAGGGAACGACCGTGCTGCACTGCTGCTGTTTGCTGCAAGGTTGCGGAGCCGGCAGCCAGAGCTCGCAGGAAAGTCTCCTTCACCACTGTATGAGAGCCCAAGGCCGTGTGTGCTGCTGAGGAACTGGAGGGTGCCCATTGGATCCGCCCTGAGCTGGCTGCAGCTCCTCTCTGCCACCCCGGACACGGGGCAGCTGGGGCTGACTGTGTTTGGTTCCTGCACTGTGAGCTGAGCAGTGAACCCACAACACAAACAAGTGCCCTGGCAGCACTGAGGACCTGAAGGCTGCAGGCACGCAGCAGGGTGCGGCCTTGCTCCTTGGCTACGGCTGTTCCTCATTTCTGTGTGTTCCTGGGTGGGAGCAGTGAGCAGCATGTTACCACTTCCCATTTTGGGTCGGTGTGACCTCCTGGTGTGTTAACCAGCTATCTGACATGGTGCAGCAGTGCCCTGCTGCCTGCGCTTATCCCTTATATAGGGCCAAGTCACAGCCTCTTTTCCAGCTGAGCGCTGTGAAAAGAGAAAATCTCTCTTCTAGCATGCAGCTGCATTTCCCACGTGGGTTTAGAGCATGCCAGGTTTGGTGCGAGTGCCTTGGTGTGCAGTCAAGGCTGCCAGTTGCAGCTACCCACCATGGTTTGCTGCAGGAGAGGGTCCTGTGTTGGATGGAGCCTGTGGGTCAGTGTGCAAACTTCCCTGGAAGTAGCTGGCCCTGGAGGAAACTGTGAGCAGAGCATATGTTTCCATCATCCCAGCTGTGGAAAAATGGGAGTGGAGAGGCAGCCACAGCTTCTGTGACTGATGGAGCAGCATGTGATGATGGGTCAGGGCACAGCCCCATTCCTTATCCATGCTGTGAGACAGAGCAGAGCTCTCAGTGCAGTGCTGTGGCTCCTGGCAGGGCTGAGCCCTTGGGTGATGCAAATGAAACATGCTGGGGTGCAGGGCCACTTGAGAAGGACACCACAGGTCCAAAGCATTCCCTCAGAAGTCCGCTTGTGTGCCATGCTCTTCACCTCTGCCTGGGCTGTGTGAACTACAGGGCTCCAGTGCATGGGAAGACAATGGCAACGTCAGGCTGGTGCCTGCCTGCAGGCTCTCATGTCACTCTTGCTTTCCAGGAATCTGCTACACAATATTTGACCTGGGCTTCCGCTTCGATGTGGCCTGGTGAGTTGCCTGAAAATACTGGCATCCTCCCTGCCAAGTGCAGGATAGATGCAGCCCGCATACATGGCTGGCTCCGTGTGTGGTCCTGGTGCAGCCATTTCTGCCCTCCCACCATTATGCCTGCCCAATTTCTCCTAGCCCTGATTTCCCCATCGTGGTGAGGGTTTGGGAGGAAAGTCTCAGCCCATTTGGGTGACAGCCCCGGGTCACTGGCTGGCAGAGAGAGGCTTTCAGTGAGAGAGTCTGACAGTGACCAACCCATCCTGGGCTGCATGGTGAGCACAATGGGCTGGCTGGCTGGTACCTGTTGTAGGGCAGTGTGATATGGGATTCTGCCTGTGTGTTGATGCAGAGTGCTTCTTCCTGCCCAGGTTCCTGACGGAGAC